CCCCAACCCCGCCCCCACCTCAGCTCCACTCGTAGCCGCACCTCCACACAGCTCACCTGTATTTTCCAGGCTGTCTCCGGGCAGCTGGACTTCCAGAAGGTCTGAGCAGTGTCTGTTACCTGGGCCTAGAGTCCCCTGTGGCCAGTCCCGGGGCCAGGCCATGCCCTCGGGCTGTGGGAGGCATTCCCCGGCCAGCAGCCGGCCCAGCCAGTGACCCTCACACTGGCCGGCGGGCTGCATGTGGGCTGGCAGGTAGAGAGCTAGGTCCCGGAGGTGGCGCAGCCGGAAGTTCTTGGGCTTGCTCCCCTGGGCACCGGGGTACTGCTGCTGCTGGGCCCCCAGTCCCCCCTCGTAGATGTTGGGGGGCGTGTCGGGGTGGCGGGGGCGTCCCCGGGCCCAGCTCACTGCATCTGTGGAAGGGAGAACAGGAGGGTGGTGGCCGGCTGGCCAGCCATAGCCGCAAGGGGGATAATACGGACACAGGCCTCTAAGACCAATTTATGTGTGGGCTCTGCCCCTAGCCTGCTGAGCCTTGGCTTACCTGTTTGTCAAATGGGCTCAGTCTCTCAAGTCTCTCTCTCTCTCTCTCTCTCTCTCACACACACACCCCTTCACTCTCACCTCCCAGACCTTCTTTCTCTCTCACACACACACCCCTCACACACACACCCTCTCTCACATACACCCTCTAACACACACACCCCTCACCCCCACACCCTCTTCCACACACACGCCCCCATACGCATACCCCTCTAGCTCTCACGCCCACACCCTCTCACACATACCCTCTTTCTCGTGCACACACCCCTCACCACACACCCCCTCTCACACACATACATTGTTTTCATTCCCTCTCCCAGGCTACGGTGAGGTCTACTGTCTAAGAAAGTTAAGACCTTGGTCCCAGAACCCCTTTGTGGACTCCAAGCCCTCTCTGCACCCTCTTTTGCCCCCTACCCAGATAAAGCACTCTGGACACAGTACAGAAATTGCACAGTGGGCCCAAGAGGAAGTGGCCATCCCACAGTCACACAGCCTGGACCATGGCCATCCACGTCCCCCAAGCACACACGGGGCCCTCCGGCCACCCTGGTGGCTTTGGGCCCAGGTTGGGACAGGAGAGTATCTCTCCACCTGCCTCTCCTCCCTGCAGCCCGGCACCTTCTCTTATGCACAGTTCAGAGAACGCACAGACCAGGGCTTCCATGGAGGGCCAGCTGGGGGAGGAGGAGCCGCCACCCTCCTGAGCGGTGGGCCGGCTCTCCCTGCCTAAGGGCAGATCTGCAAGTCTCCATGGCAACCAGCCCTTGTGACGTCACAGGGAAGCCCTCAGCCTTCCTGGAGCCCTGGTTGGGAGGAGGACAGGAGGGTCAGGGTAGGAGGAGGGCAAGAAAGGCGCCTGACCCCCCAGGGAAGTCCCTAATCCCTGTGGCTTCGGGCAGGCCTTACAAAACAGACTAAACTCTGGCACACTGCAGAACTGTTCACCAGGGTGACCCCTGGAACCTCTGTTTTCTCATCTGTGGGCAGAAAATGGTTTAGGGGAGCAGGCCTGCTGTGGCCTGGGTCAGTGCTTTGAGCCTGCTCAGTAGGGTCTGGGTGACTGGGACCCTCACCTTTCTAAGCGTGCATTACTGTCACAGGCCTTCCTGTGAGGCCCAACAGGTGGGCTCTTGTCTTCTGGCAGGAAAGAATTGCTCACAGAGACAGAGGTGGTTTATGGAAGGCAAGTCTTTAATAAAACACTACAGGAGGCTGAACAGTGGCACAGAGGCTGGGCGTGTAGCACGCTAGCTGGACTGCCAATACTTTGCGGTTGGCTGCCGGCAATTACGGAGGACACAATGCGGAAGCCATACAGTTGCCGAGTCAGGTGCCCAGGTTTCATGTTTTCCTTATTTGTGTTTTCCTTGTGCCTCTGTCTTTGGACGGGGCCAGGCATCTGCTCGCCCCAGGGTAGCAGGTGCTGACCCCACACCCGAGACTCTGCAGTAAACCATCTGGCAATGATTTCATACTTTCCTAATAGCAGTTTTGTTTGTCATAGTTGCTTATTCTTTGCAATTGTTGTCACAAAGGCTTTCAAACAACCTAATTTCCAACTTACGTGTATGCCATTATTTTCCAGTTTCTATCAGGAGGGGAAGTTTAACAATTTACAAAACACGTAGCCGGGGCAGCTTCCATTCTTACAGGTGTCCCTGTCCCATTACCGCGTGTCTTAGTTCTCCAGCACTGCTATTACAGATGGAAACAGTACAAGTGGATGGCTGCAACAAACAGGAACTAAGCCTCTCACAGTTTAAGGAGCTGGAAGTCCTGCTCCAGGGGAATGCTTTCTCTCTGTCAGCTCTGGGGGTTGGTCCTCGTCTCCTTTCAACACCTGTGGGCCTGGCATTCCTTGGAGATTTCCATGAGTCTTGGCATCAACCTTCCCCTGAGTCTAGGCGGTTCTCAGCACAGGGACGTTGGGTCCAAAGGATGCTCTCCACTCTTAGATCTCCTTTCTGGGAGGTACTGAGGTCCCGCCCCTCTCTGCTCCCTTCTTTCTCCTTTTGTCACTTGTAAAAAGTGTGACTCAAGCAAGGGTGTGACCTGAATCATGCCCTCTTATAAGGCTGTAACTCAAGATCCCCCCACCCTAATCCCGCCTCACTAACACATACCAGACTCAAACCAAACTCACTGCCATTGAGTTGATTCTGACTCATGGTGGCCCCCACTGGATTTCCGAGCAGTCAAATGCCTTAGGCACTGTGCCACCAGAGCTCCTTCACTGATGTATAGAGGTTGGGATTTATAACACAGAGAATGGAGGATCATTACATCAGATCACAAAACAGGACAACCACACACTTCTGGTAGCTCTGGTGGCGTAGTGCCTAAGGCACTTGACTGCTAACCAGAAGGCTGGAGGTTCAAACCCACCAGCCACTCCTCGGAAGGAAGGTTGGGCAATCTACTTCCGTAGTGATACCACCTTGGAAACCCAAGGAGGGGTCACTATGAGCCGGGTCTGACTCCACGGCACATAATAGCAACAGCACACACTTCTGGGAATCATGGCCTTGTCAAATTAACTCATATTGTGTTGTTGTTGTTGTTGTTGTTAAATGCCATCCAGTTGTCTCCAACTCATAGTGACCCCTCCTTGGGTTTCCGAGGCAGTATCACTATTTAGGGGGACACAATTCAATCCATGACACACCCCATAAGTAAAGGAGGGGGAACCCCTGGGGGAAGAAACGGTTAAGCACTCGACCACTAGTTGAAAGTTTGGTGAGTCAAACTCACCCAGAGACGTCTCGGAACACAGTCCTGGAAATCTGTTTCCGAAAGGTCCCAGTCACTTGGCTGGTAATGCAAAGGTTGGAGGTTAGCGTTCAGCCAGAGGGGCCGTGGAAGAAAGGGCTGGCAGTTACTTATGAAAATCCAGCCACTGGAAACCCTGTGGGATATACATGGGGCGCCACGGCCCAGAGCCCACTCAGCGCCGCCCCCAGGCCCTTGCTTTTGGAAATGGGTTCTTCTCCACTCACCTCATGTCTCTGTCTCTTAGAAGGGCAGCCATACAGCTGCCCGTCCTTGATGCTCTCTCAAGGACAGAGAAAGGTGTTACTGAAAAGTTACTGCCTTGGAAGTCATCATTTCTTGGATGCCTACCGAACCACCCACTTGGGTCACAGTCACTCACGGGCTCACTGAGTTTTGCACTCAAGACAAAGTGGACAACTGCAGCAACTTGAAGGTTTTTACCAACTTTCCACCCAGCCCCTGGTCACTAAAGCACAATGCTGGCAAACAGGAGTGTGGGCAGGGGGTGCTCCAAAGAAGCCAGAAGGCACCTGATTGGCGCATGCGTGCGAACCTTTAATTAAACCATCAGACTCTGCTCAACGGCCTTATGGACTGATCTAGTGGTGAAATGAAAATTCTTACCCTGAAAGGGGCTTTTTCCTATTGATCCTGGAAACTGGCTAATGACACTGTCTAATGTCAGACAGCAGCCTACTGCTGAAAATTAGTTGGACCTTCTTTACCTGTTAAAACCTCCTCTGTGTTCCTTCTGACTTATCCCTTTAAGTGCTACAAGAATATTTAAGTCTTTGGGAAGGGGAGTTCAGCTCTGGGAGGGCACTGCAAACAGAAGGGAACAAGCTAAGGGATGCCGGTGAGAAGTCCTGGGGCTAGTTGGATGGTGCTGGAGCTCAGAGTTCCTGGCAGGGAATGAGTGGTAGGAGGAGGTTGTAGAGGCATGAAGACCAACCCAAACCAAATCCACTTCCATCAAGTAGATTCCAACTCACAGCGCCCCTAGAGGACAGAGTGGAACTGCCCCACAGGGTTTCCAAGGCTGTCAGTCTTCACAGAAGCAAAGCCCAAACCACACCCACTGCCGTGGAGTCCATTCTGACCCACAGCGCCCCTAGAGGACAGAGTGGAACTGCCCCACAGGGTCTCCAAGGCTGTCAATCTTCACAGAAGCAAAGCTCAAACCACACCCACTGCCTGGAGTCCATTCCGACTCACAGCGCCCCTAGAGGACAAAGTGGAACTGCACCAGTGGGTTTCCAAGGCTGTGAATCTTCATCAAGGAGCTCTGGTGGTGTAGTGCCTAAGGCACTTGACTGCTAACCAGAAGGTTGCGGGTTCAAACCCACCAACCACTCCAGGGAAGGAAGACTGGGCAATCTACTTCCATAAACATTTACCACCTCGGAAACCTAGTGGGGGTCGCTATGAGTTGGAATTGACTGGATGGCAGCGAGCTTTCTTTTTTCAAGTCTTCATGGAAGTTGCCTCATCTTTCCCATTCGGAGCACCTGGTTGGTTCAAACCGCTGCCCTGTTGGTTAGCAGCTGAGTGCTTTAACAACTGCAGCACCAGATCTCCTGGTAGAGGTTGGCAGGGGCCCAATAACAACGTATGGTAACCACTGTTATTAGGTGCCGCAGAGTCGCTTCCGACTCATAGCGTAAAACAAAACGGGTCCAGCTCCAGAAAAAATACAAAACCTTAGGGAGCAGTTCCACGTCATGAGTCGGAGTGAACTCAACAGCAGCTGATAACAACAAGATCAAAGCCCGGGAATGATTTGGCTGGGAGCCTGGCACTAGTGAGCATGCGCCCTTTAAATAACTGTTGCTTCGTCTACAATGACAAGGACGATTCTAACTCATCTAAAGCAACATTGCAAAGCGGAGGGGATGGAGGCCGGGCTCGGCCTCTCCAGCTGGGGTGAAGGGAGCCCTGGCAGAAGACGGCAGTCTGGGGCCCTCCGAAGTGCTCAAACCCCACACAGAGGCGGAGTGCAGCATTAGAAGGGTCACGGCGCCACCTAGAGGCAACGTCGGGAAAAACCACTATAGCACAAGTGAGTGTGTTTGTTTTTGGTTTTAAGCACAGGAAGTTGCTGAAGATGAGTCTCACTTAACGCAAAACCCAAGTGCCAAGATAATTCAGAGAGAATGAAAACCGAGGGGAAAACGCAGACATTGCTGGTGGGAATGCAAAATGGTGCAGCCACTTTGGAAAATAGTCTGGCAGATGCCCCAAAAGTTAAACACAGAGTTGCCCAGCAATTCCACTCGTAGGTGTACACCCAAGAGAAATGAAAGCTCCTATCCACACAAAAAACTTGGCAGACAAATGTTCATAGCAGCGTTAGTCACAATAGCCCCAAACCGGAAACAACCCAGCTGTCCATCAACTCATGAATGGAGACGTAAAGTGTGGTCTATCCAGACAACTGAATCTCAAGCCAAAACCCACTATCGATTCCAACTCAGAAATACAAAATGTTTTCTATCTCTATAGTTTTTTCTTTTCCATAATGTCTAGTGTCCTAGAGGACAGAGTAGGACTGCCCCAAAGGGTTTCCAAGGCTGTAATCTTTATAGAAGTGGACTGTCTCATTTTCTCCCGTGGAGCTGTTAGTAGGTTCAAACCACCGAACTTTCGGTTAGCAGCGTAATGCGTTAACCACTGCATCACCAGAGCTCCTGCAATGGAATATTAGTCACAAAAAGGAGTGAAGTACTGGTGTATACATGCTATAACATGGATAAACCTCGACTAGGTGAGAGAAGCCAGACTCAAAAGACCACATACTGTGTCCATTCATATAAAATATGCAGAATACTCAAATCCACAGACAGGAAGTGGTGCTTACCAAGGGCTAGAGGAAAGTAGGGATAGGGAGTGGCTGCTAGCTGGACAAGGTTTCTTTCTAGGGTAACGAAAATATTTCGGTTTTGAACGAGTGCTGGTTTCCTACTTTGCGAGCATACTAAAAACGACTTAACTGTACACTTTAAAGGGTGAATTTCAAGATATGTGAGTTATAAATATTTATAAATAAAAAATAAATTACATATTTAAAAAAAGGCTAATATCACACTTAACAAAGAACAAGTTTGTCTCCTCACAGTACTGATTTGATAGGGACAGGCAATTTAAGCATTGACTATCTAAAATGGGAGGAGTTCTGCTAGCATAGTGCCTAAGGCACTTGACTGCTAACCAGAAGGCTGGCAGTTCAAACTCACCAGCCACTCCTCGGAAGGAAGGTTGGTCAATCTACTTCCGTAGTGATACTGCCTCGGAAACCCAAGGAGGGGGTCGCTATGAGTCGGGTCCGACTTGACGGCACATAACAACAACAACAATCACACTTAATGGTGAAAGGCTGTATGCTTTCCCCGCTCAGATCAGGAATTAGACGATAATGTCCACTCAGCATCTCTATTCAACACTGAGCTAGCGTTCTACGAGTCTGTATAAACACCTGTCAAGTAACCACCATCCTAATCAAGATACAGAACAGTTTTGTCACCCCCAGAACTCCTCAGCAACCACTGATCTGTTTTATATCTCTATTGTTTTTTCTCTTCCAGAGTGTCATTTAAATAGAACCTCCCTTTGGCGTCTGGTTCATAGCAGGCCGGTCCCCTCTCCTCAACCAAGGCCCCTCCTCTTGCCCTCTAGACAGAACTCCCGCGTTGCCATAACAACCACCTCCGCGACGCGCGCTGATCCGGAACGATTTCCGGCCAGTGGGGAGGCCGAGCCGGTTGCGCGTGCGCGGAATGCAGGTCTCCCAAACGCTCGTGTGCCGGTCGGCCTGGGCTCTGTGTCTGCGACTGGGAGTCTTAGAAGCCATGGACGTTGGGCTAGGTCATTTTACTCAGGCTTCGTGAGACTGTAGTACATTCTGTACACGTATGTAAAGAATAAATGACAAAACTCAAAACCAAACCCACTGCCCTTGACCAGATTCCAACTCAGCGGCCCTATAGGACAGAGTAGAGTTGCCCATCGGGTTTCCAAAGGTGTCAGTGTTCACAGAAACAGACTGCACATAATGCCAGCCAGTGCCAAATGTACATAAATCCTTAGGCCTGGGCTTTCAGCGTCCCCAAGCCCGCCTTCCTGGCTGGCCCTTCTGCGCATGCGCCCTGCCCTAGCTGCTTTGCATGCCGTTCTTGTTTGGCCCTAGCCGCGCGCCGTCCGTTGGTTGCCATAGAGACCGTCGAGCACTCAGTCTCTGCATGCTGAGGGGTTGGCAGCGGGGATCTGAGACTCCAGAGGAGCGCGGCGCCATGTCTTTCCGCGACCTTCGCAGTAAGGCAGCCCTTTGTACCTTGCGGTCCTCGACCGCTTCAGGGCTCCGGCCCGGCTCGCTTGGTTCCGTGTGTGAGTCGCGGTCGGAGCCCTGCGCTACCGCGAGTGCCTCAGCCCCGCGGCGCGCGGTATTACCTCTGGCCTGGCCCTTCGCTGCCAGCAACCCCGGTCAGGTTTCCGTGCCTCGGGGACTGTTCTGACCCGCTGGCGCCACTGAATAGAACTTTCGGCGATGGTGGCAAGTTGTGTCCCTGGCAGTGGGCACATATAGCTACTGAACATTTAAAATGTGGTAGAACGGCTGAGGAACCGAGTTTTTAACTTTATCTGATTTTAATAAATTTGTGTTTACATAGTCACCTGGAGGCAGTGGCAGAGATAGTGGGGAAGTGGTTTTTGAGCTGGGTTACCTCAGCGCTCAGAGAAGTGAACAACAACAAAGCGGGGCGGAGCTATGATGCTAATCACAGCTAACATTCTAAGCTCTGGTGGCGCTGTGGCTCAGGCACTGGGCTGCTAACCAAAAGGTCGGTGGTTTGAAGCCAACAGCTGCCCTGCGGGAGAAAGAAGAGGCAGTAGGCTTCTTTGCCTAGAGTGACTGCCTTGGAGACCCTGTGGGCAGTTCCACTCGGTCCTCTAGGGGCGCTGTGGGTCAGAATGGACTCCAGGCAGTGGGTGTGGTTTGGGCTTTGCTGCCCTGAAGACTGACAGCCATGGAGACCCTGTGGGCAGTTCCACTCTGTCCTCTAGGGGCGCTGTAGGTCAGACTAAACTCCACCATAGTTGGTGTGGTTTGGGTTTTCCTTCAAACCCAAGGAGGGGTCACTATGAGTCGGATCCAACTGGAGGGCAGTGAGTCTGGTCTGGTCCATGAAGATTAACACCTGGGAGACCCCGTGGGGCAGTTTCACTCTGTCCTCTAGGGGCGCTGTGGGTTGGAATTGACTCCACGGTGGTGGGTTTGTTTTGAATATTCTTTTGCGTTTTTATGGTCTGCTGCCAGGTACTGTTCTGCATAAGTGTATTATTTCATAGACTCTTTTCAACGACTCAGTGTGGCCTGTATTTAGAGATGAGGAAACAGAGAGAGGCCGAGTAACTAGGTCTGGTGACACAGATGCTAAGAGGTGGTACTGGGATTTGAATTCATTTAGTCTGACTCCTCAGATGCAAGGATGGCGAGCGTGCCTCTCCCGGACTTTGGTCGTGTATCAGGAAGGGCCAGTCCCTGGAGAAGGCCATCAGGTAAAGGAGAGGGTCAGTGACGAAGGGGAAGACCCTCAAGGAGATGGTTGGCACAGAGGCTGCAACAGTGGGCTCAGGCATAGCAAGGATTGTGAGGGTGGCCTAGGCCGGGCAGGGTTTCGTTCTGTTCTAGGTGAGGTTGCCAGGAGTCAAAACTGGCTTGACGGCACCTGACAACAGCAGTCTGACTCCCCAGCCTGCATCCTTTCTGAAGCAGCTGCCGAGGAGCAGGGGAGAAGGGTCCCCCAGTCATGAGCGTAGGGAAAGTAGGACCCTGAATACTGTGCTAGGAGGCAGGGCCTTGGCGATAAGAGCATTAGTTGCTACCGCTTTGGGGAATGGAGTCCCTGGATGACACATATAGTTCAGTGCTCCCCTCCTAACACAAAAGTTGGTGCTTTGAACCTTTCCTGCAGGTGCCTCAGAATAAAGTCTTGGCAGTCTGCGTCTGAAAGATCACAGCTGTTGAAAACCCTAGACTGCATTCTGCGCTGTACCACATGGGGTCACCATGAGTGGGCATGGACTCCATGCCAGCTGGTTTGGTTTTGTTTGGTGCTTTGGGGGCCAGCTGTTCTGTCCAGGTGTATGACAGCCAGGATCTTGACATCCTCACTTGGAGGGTGCTGTGGTGGTAGTATTAGTCGCCGTCAAGTTGTTTGAGACTCATGCAGCCCCAGGAGTGTCCGAGTGGAACTGCTCCATGAGAGGGTTTTCAAGGCCCGGAGCTTTCAGAAGCAGGTCACAAGGCCCGTCTTCTGTGAAGCACTGCTGGGTGGGTTCGGATCGCCAGCCTTCAGGCCAGTGGTCAGATGCTTTGCCGTTTGTGCCCCCCAGTGACAGGTGGTGTAATCCTGGGGTGCAATAATTTGAGGCGCACAGGGGTGAAGTGAAGTGCTTTAGGTCACCCGGTGGAACCGGCCAGAGCTGATGGCTCAAACAGCTGACGGACTCAGAATCGCTTGGCTTTTATGCACCGTCATGTCCTGACTCTGAAGTAGTCTTGCTGACTGGCTCTCCCTGCAGAGGTGTCGCAGGTGATACCAGTGTGGCGTCATCTGAGGGACCTCTTCGAGGCACCAGGAAGTGGAGCCTGAACATTCCCCACTAGCGAGTATTCCCTGCGGTTGTAAATCACTTTTTTTTCCCCTGCAAGGTCAGCATCCAGGAAAAGCATCACATTTTATTGATGCAGCTGCTGGCCCCTGGTGTGAGTCATTTCCTGTGGGATTTCAGGCTACTTGGGGTCGGGATCACTTGATGGCAGTGGGTTTGTTTTATTTTCTGATTGTTTTGGTGACCATGTAGTGTACAAGACAGGTTTCTCCTCCATCGAAGTTTCGAGAGGGCCAGTACTCCACTAGGGGATATGAAAGAGATGTGAGATATTAAAGAGAGAAATTCGTAGCTAATCCCCGAACCTCATTTTAATATATACCTTCCACTACTTCTCCCATTGAACTTAAGTGAATGATTTGTAGGTAGTGGATTAGGTGTTTAAAATCTTACCTCTTAATGGAATACTGTGCAACACTAAAGAATAATGTGCAATCTACAAAACACTGCATAAGGTGGATGAAGTTGGAGGAAATTATGCTGAGTGAAATAAGTCAATTATAGAACAACAAATATTGTATTAGTTCATTATTGTAATGAGGAAAGGTTTATGTATGGAAGGAAACTTTCTTTGTTGGTTACCAGGGTGGAAGGGCAAGAGAGAGAAATAATTAATTAATTAATTAAAAAAAAGGTTGAAATGGCAAGTATTTTGTTACATATATTTTTCTCACAATAAAAAGAATCATCTTTTGAAAATAAATAAATAAAATCTTACGTCCTTTTTCCTTTCACTCTTAGAGTGTTGATAATTAGTCCCTACTATTGCAAATGGGTGGGGATCCAGAAAGAAAGTTGCTGCTTGAGGCATTGTTGACTGGACTGTCTTTTGCCTTGCACAGATTTCACGGAGATGATGAGAGCCTTGGGGTACCCCCGGCACATTTCTATGGAGAATTTCCGCACGCCCAATTTCGAACTTGTGTCTGAAGTGCTTCTCTGGCTTGTGAAAAGGTTAGAATGGCACTTGATTCAGGCCTGAGTATGAATGCCAGCCTTTCTTTATTTGTTAGCTGTCTAGGAACGGTGCACTGTTGTAAAGCCAAAGGAAGCATGCAGTAAGATTCGGGTTTGCCAGCTCCTGTAGCCTGCTAGAAACCAGCATTTGGAGCAGGCCACAGGTGGGGAGACGAGTTCTCAGGGGAGCAGACAGTGGCGCACTGACCCAGGCTCTCCGTCCTCCCTGGCCCCACGAATTGAGTTAGGAATCATTTATTTAGACTGTCCTTTGTGTGAAAAATGTATTATCAGCCAGGGGTCAGCAAACTTTTTCTGCAGTGGGCCATTTAGTGAATAGTTTGGGCTCTGCAGGCTGCCCAAGGCCTCTCTCGCATTGTTTTTGTTCTATTCAGCCCTTCACAAACGTGCACGCTGTTCTTGGCTCACAGGCTGCACCAAAGCAGGCCAGGGGCCACAGTGTGCTGATCCCTGGTGGATTGCCAGTAACTCGAGAGTGACTTCAGCCTCTCACTTGCTTCTGACAGTGGCCTACTGAGCCCTAGAGTTCATCTCCAGGCCGGGGCCCTCAGCCACAGTTATGGTCCTGTTGGTTTGAATGAAACTCTGAGGTCTGAGAGCGACTGGATTTTGTAAGCTGACCTCCTGATTTGAGTTTTGAAATAGTTCAGCCTGTTCATGGGTGGGGATTGGCTCCCTTGGACATTTGGTAAGTATCTTGTGTTGCTATGAAGGTCTCCCTGTGTTACTGCCTCACCTGGGGACGCGGGAGCCTCGTGTTACAGATCCACTGGCCCTCACAGCTGCCCCTTTTCTCTCCTGGACTTGCTGCTCGATTGACTGGTGTCCTTTCTCTGGTAGGTACGAACCGCAGACAGACATCCCTTCTGATGTTGAGACCGAACAAGACCGGGTTTTCTTCATTAAGGCGATTGCCCAGTTCATGGTTAGTTCTTGGTTCTTTTGTGGGGTTGTAAAATTCCGTGCATGGGAAGGGGATGAGTCCTGGTGAAGGGTGCTTTCAAACTGAACTACTTGTTCTGGACCATTCCATTACCAGGTTTCTATGGAGCCATTTTACCAACACAGGTGGTTGGTTTTTTTTCCCTCCACTATTTGTTAAGAAGCCTACTGACTTATCTTTTTATTTTGAACGGGTGATATTTTCCATGATCAAAAAATGAAGATTATGAAACACTGTAGAGTATAATGTCTTTCTACTCTTTCTGCCTGTTCTGTTCCTAATAGCCACTATTTTGAATGTCTTTGGGTTTGTGCAGATACAGGCAGATGTCTGTTCTGATGTTGCCGTCCATTTACACAGAAGGTAGCAGAATGTACCCTGTTTAGCATCCTCTTTTCTTGTCTTCATGTAACAGTGTCTCTTAGAGAACTTTGTCAATCGATGCATGTGAATTTGCCTGTTCTCCCTTGGGCCTGAGTAGTATTGCCTGGATGGGTGCCCTGATCTGTATCATGGGGTACAGATGGGCAGGGAGGCTCCCAGCCTTTGTTCTTTGAAGCAGTGCTGTCATGGATAACCATAGGCATTCTCTGGTTGGTGGGGGAGTATGTCCCGAGGCTTGGAATGGCTGGGTCCCAGGGCACGTGCACCTGTGACTTTGAGGATGGTCGCCAAGGCCCTCTTCATCAAGGTTTTACTGGTTTCCACTCCCACTTGCAACGTATGAATCATCTGGAATGTTTGGCTCTTAATACTATAGATTATATCCCGATGGTTGCAGAGAGATTCTCAGAGTACCTTCATGGGATTTGGTCTCTATAGAAATGGAAATGGCCTTAACCTTTCTTTTTCTTTTTTTTTTTTTGGTCTGACAATAGGCCACCAAAGCCCATATAAAACTCAATACTAAGAAGCTTTATCAAGCAGATGGGTACGCGGTTAAAGAGCTCCTGAAGATCACATCTGTCCTTTACAGCGCGATGAAGGCCAAAGGGACAGAGAGCTTGGAAGGAGGAGAGGGAGACGTCAGCAAGTGCAAGTTTGATCTCGGCTCGAAGGTGAGGAGAAGGACAGACCTGCAGCGAGGAAACTGGCCATTTGCTTCTCAAACTTCCAAGTGGGATGTAGCCGGCACTGCTGGCCGCATTCCTTGACTGAGGGCAGTTCGTCAGTTTTGTGCTCAACAGCGCTTGGATAAAAGCAGAAGTCACAGTAAATGAACGCAGCTATTCACCGAAGGCCTGCTGTTTGCCGGCCACTGTTCCAAGTGCTGGGGACACAGGTGTCAGCGGAGAGGACAGGGATCCTGTGCTCAGGTTGCTCAGCTGCGGGGGAGGCAGCTAACAAAGAAGCAGAAGGTGTGCTGGGTCAGGCGGGGCCGGGGCTCTGAGAGTTGTGAGGTAGGGGACAGAACGTGCTGGGCGGCATCTCACCAGGAAGGCCTTGTGGCTCAGACGGTGGTATCAGCAGAGATCTGAAGGAGGGAAGGAGTGAGCCGTGCAGGTGAAGGGGGAAGAGTGTCCCACAACAGGCATTCACTCTGTGCGTTTGAGGAAAGGGGGGGGCCTTGTGATGAGAGCGGGGAGGTAGGCTGGGGAGCCGAGACTCCGGCCTTACTCTGAGATGGTTGGGTTTTGAGCTGAGCTGTGACATGATTTGAATTTCATGTTTAAAGGATCACACTGGCGGCTGGGATGAGATCAGGCTGACGGGGCAGGGTGGCAGCAGGGAGACCAGTCATAAAGCGGGAGGTGACGGTGACTTTGACCCGAGTGGTTGTGGGAGAGGTGGAGAGAAGCTGCTGGAGTTTGGGATATACCGTTGGTCCTCACTCTTGCGGATTCTATATTTGCAAATTTACCTATTTGCTAGGGTTGACTGTAACCCCACAATTAGTACCCATGGGTTTTTATGGTGTTTCATAGACTCGCTCAGGGCAGTGAAACCCTTGCGTTCCTGACCTATCTGCATGCTCCCAGCTGAACTCAAGCAGGGCTGCTTTCTGTGTCAGCCCTCACACTGCAACCAGGTGTCCTGTCTGCGGTCTGTTTAGTGTGTGTTTTCTCATGGTTGTGCTTTTTGTTGGTGATTTCTGTTTAAAATGGCTTCCAGGCATAGTCTGGAAGGGTTTCTAAGTGCAGAAGGCTGTGGCCTTATGAGAAGGCGCGTGTGCTGGATCAGCCTTGAGCAACATGAATCAACAGTATGTTAAATAAGGTGTCTTTAAACAGAAACACAGATGAGACAAGGTTACGTACTGATTGGTTGACAGAAACATGACCAGAGGCTTGCAGGGTCCTGGCCCTGTATTCCCCCGGAAGCAGTGGCTCAGTGGTTGCTAATTCAGTGTCCACACAGCTACCACCAACAACAGGACTCAGCTGCACTCAGGAGGTAGGGAATGAGAAGAGGCAAAGATGATTCTAAGGCAGCGCTGTCCAGCCGCATTTCCTGTGATGGTGGCCACGTCTGTCTGTACTACACAACACGGTAGCTACTAGCCACATGTCGTTAGCGTGACCAGGGAACTGAGTTTTACATTTTAGCTCGTTTCAAATGAATTTTTAAACAGCCACATGTGGCTAGTGGTTACTGCATTTGACATCACAGCTCTCAAGTTTCTGATCTGGGTCCCTGGAAGGATGATGCTGCCATTTGCTGAAATGGAGAGAGTCTGAAAGAAACTAGAGGGAGCAGCATCTGGGAGGACTAAGGAGATAGGGAGGAAGTCAGTGAGGAGTGGAGAGGGGCGTCGTTGCCATGGGGTCAGTTCTGACTCACAGAGACCCATGTGACAGAGTAGAACTGCCCACTGGGTTTCTGAGGCTGCAGTCTTCACGGGAGCAGCTGATCAGGTCTTTTCAGCTGGTGGGTTTGAACTCCTGGCCTTTAGGTTAGCAGCCAAGCGAGCTCTTAACCCTGTGCCACCAGGGTTCCTTGAACAGAAGGTGGGAATTAGTTGTTGAGACAGCAGGAGTGAGCAGAGCAAGGAAATGATTATGTTTGGGCTCTTTGGGGGAACTTAGCGCGTGCGGGGGAACGAGGGTGATGTACAAATCCTGGGAAAGAAGTCTGTGCAAAGGGCTGAGTGCTAGGTCTACCTCCTCCATCCCTCAGCCTCCGCCTCCTCTCCATGCTCTCATCCTGTCTCCATCCTCATCATCTCCATCCTCTCCTCCTCATGGTCGTTCCCACCATCATCCATCGTGCTTGTATTCCAGGTCCTATCATGAGTCCTTCATGTTTGCTCACTCACTTGAGCCTTGCAACAACCCTATGAAGTCACATCTAAGGCAGGGGACGAGGGGGAGATTCTGGGGAAGTTAAACATCAGGGGTCAGTGTTGTGCAAAAGACATGTGTCCCTCTGCTTGCCCCTCCCTCTGGTCACCCTGCTACGGTTGGGGTACCTGTTGTGACCCAGCCCACATCAGAAGCATGTCGACTTCCAGCCTCCTCTTCCTCCTCTTTGCAAATGAAATTTGACTTGACGTTTGTTTTTTGGGGGAGACCCAGGTGTCCTGGAAGTGGTCTCTTGTTTATATTTAGATAACTGTTTCCCATGCCCGAGTTCTGGGGACCCCTTTTCTGTGGGGCCTACAAACGTGTCCTGTGAAAACGTGTTCTGTAGCCCCGTGTCCGACAGAAGGCGGAATCGATTTGGGCAGGCCAGTTCTTTGTGGATTGCCTGTTAGCAGCCCCGTCATGCGATTTCTGCTGTTGCTGGTTTCTCTTCCAGATTGCGGATCTGAAAGCAGCCAGGCAGCTTGCTTCTGAGATCACCGCCAAGGGCGCGTCTCTGTACGACCTGCTGGGCAAGGAGGTGGAGCTGAGGGTAGGTCACCTTCCGACAGCAGGGTTCCTTCCTTCACTAGCCTGCTTCCTCTGGGAAATCTTTCCAATCCCGCATCTCCCTTTTCAGCTCGTCTGATCATATCACTGTCAGTTTTATCACATGAGGTAGTGTGTGGGGAGGGGACACACAGGGCCAGCTGCCCTCGCTGCTGCCAGGGGCCCTGCTGTGCTGTTACCCTCTGCTTCTGGCTCAGGAGTGGCGGATCTGTGCGTCCTGCTGTGCCATGGCAGACAGCGTTGGTCACGACGTGTCCTCCTGCCTCATTCGGCCTTGGCGTGGCTCTCAGTAAAGAGCTTTTGCAAGCCAGGGGTCCTAGACCTTGCTGCACACTGCAGTCACATAGGTGACTGGCGCCTGCCTGCCTTTCAGACATAATTGGTGGACTGTGACCCGGCAGTGAACGCCTTTCTGACATGACCGGTGGACTGTGACCCGGGCAGTGGACGCCTTTCTGACATGACCGGTGGACTGTGACCCGGGCAGTGGACGCCTTTCTGACATCACCGGTGGACTGTGACCCGGGCAGTGGACGCCTTTCTG